AGTGGGCGTGCATGAGGCAGCCAATCGATGATTTTTTTCTCATCATTGACGTTTCTCTCTCCCCCTCTCCCTTCCTCTCTCTGAAATCAATAAAAACACAAAACTAAACATCCACTTAACGTGTGTATTATGTGGCATTGATGCGGCCCTGACTCCTGGTGACCCTATGAATGAGGGACAACCACAATGTCCTATAGACTCGTGCCTGTGGCTTTTTTTATGGACTCGGTTCATCTCCTATGTAGTCTTCCTTGTTTCCTGCTGCCCTCCATTTTACCAATACCCACTTAATACGTGGCCAGAGATGCATTCGTGGGCATTTATGCCAGAGGAATGACCACTCGTGCCCACAGGAAACCCTATGCACAGTTGTTTATTGAGGTTTTATTTATAGTAGACAGAGACGGGGAAAGCCTGTGTCTTCAGTGGGTGAGTGGGTCAGCCGTGCCGTGGAATATTATACAGCAGTGAAAAGGAAGGAACTCCTCATACACGCATCACCCTGCATGGGTCGGAAGGGCAGTATGCTGAGTTAGAAAAATAAGATGAAAAGCTAGTTTCCAAAGGTCACACACTGTATGGGTCCGTTTATATGGCATTCCCAAAAGGAAACACCTGAATGGAGTCGGGTGGCGGGGAACAGGAGGTGACTAAAGGCGACGCAGATCGAGGTCCTCCCAGCAGGGAACAGTGCTGAATCGTGATGGCAGTGCTGGTCGCGTGAGCCTGCACCTGTGATAAAATGACCCATTGGGTGCACACGCGCTGGGCCAACGTCAGTTTTCCTGGTTTGAGAGATCTGTTCTTAGTGCTGCAGTTATATAAGCGTTTTTCCAGTAGATACATAGTTACGTAAGATACAGGCCTTGGGGAAAACGGAGTGAAAGGTACATGGGACTTCTCTGTGCTATTTCTGAAGCTTCCAGTGAACCTGTTATATTTCACAGCTGAATAACAGCCACAATGATCTCCCATGTGTGGCTCGCCCTGTATTGCTCGTGGGGATGCTGCTTTGCACCTGAAAAGGCACTGGTGGGTCATCCAGGCCGGAGGTACGTGCCCAGGATGCAGCCCTGTTGCCCCTCCTCTGCCTCCCTGTGTCATGTAAGTGGCAGGGATGGCCTGGCACGTCTCAGCCAGGTAACAAATGAAAGGATCTTCGTGTCATGCTCACACAACAGCCTCCTGGGAAATGCTGTGTTTTTTGTTTGTTTGTTTGTTTGTTTTTTACTTATTTTTGGTTACCTGTGTTTTAAAATCATGAGTTTTCATTTTCCAATGTTTCAAAGCTGATTACTTTTTCTAAAGCCCCGCCTTTGCAGATCACATTAAAAAATAATCTTTTACCCCCTCACATCCATTAGGATGGCTACTATTTTTTAAAAAATCACAAACCAACAAGTGCTGAAGAGGAGGTGGAGAAACTGGGACTCCAGCCCCCTGTGGGTGGGATGGAAAGTGGTGAAGCCGCGTGGGAGGCAGCATGGAGGTTCCTCCAAAAATTAAACGTAGAGCTGCCATGTGACCCAGCAATCCCGCCTCTGAGATACACCCCAAAGCACTGAAGGCGGCTCCCACGGAGGTACGCGTGCACCCCGGTCCCAGCAGCATCTATTCGCAGGGGTCCTCAAACTACGGCCCGCGGGCCACATGCAAATACAAATATTGTATTTGTTCCCGTTTTGGTTTTTTACTTCAAAGTAAGATATGTGCAGTGTGCGTAGGAATTTGTTCATAGTTTTTTTTTAAACGACAGTCCGGCCCTCCAACGGTCTGAGGGACAGTGAACTGGCCCCTTGTTTAAAAAGTTTGAGGACCCCTGATTCACAGTAGAGAGACCATGGCAGCAATCCAAATGGCCAGCCAGAGGACAGATAAACAGTGTGCTCCGTGCAGACAGTGGAGTGCGATTCAGCCTCAAGAAGGAAGGACGGTCTGGCACGAGTGAACCTGAGGACATGATGCCCAGTGAAATAAGCCAGTCACAGAGAGACGGGCACTGTGTGTACGTGAGGGACCAGGGTAGTCACATGCCTGTTCAGTGATCGTTTTAAACTGTCCTGTGCATGTTCTGCCATCGAGTGAGCCTGGGCTTCCTTCGCCTCCCGGGACCCTGCACAGTCCTGTCTGCCGGGGCAGGGTTTCTTTGTCATGGGGGCCACAGCATTAGTAACAAAGAAATAGAATTTCCGGAGAATGGGGCCCAGAAATCAGGATTTTAAAAACATTCCCAGGTGATCTAATGTGCAGCCAAGGTTGAGAAACACTGTTCTAGATTTTCCCCCCACATTGTTGACTGTGTAGGGCAGTGATGGTGAACTTTTTGAGCTCGGCATGTCAGCATTTTGAAAAACCCTAACTTAACTCTGGTGACGTGTCACCTATAGAAATTTTTTGATATTTGCAACCAAAGTAAAACAAAGACTTATATTTTTGATATTTATTTTATATATTTAAATGCCATTTAACAAAGAAAAATCAACCAAAAACATGAGTTCACGTGTCACCTCTGACACGCGTGTCATAGGTTTGCCATCACTGGTGTAGGGTTTCCCTGGGGAGCTGAAGCATTTGCCAGCGTCTCCCCAGAAGCAGAAGATGCGGACATATTTGTTTGGCCAAATCTGGGTCCTCCCACCAGCCCCCCTCTGTGTCCTCCCAGAGGCCCCGACCGCCCCTGGCCCTACAGTGGGCCGTGGCGGGGAGGCTCACGCTTGTCCTGCTGCCCCAGGTGAAGCCACCCTTTAGCACAGCCTGGCGGTGGTGGGTGGCCCGGGAGTGCCTGGGCGAGAGGGGCACGTCTTGTTAGAGCTGATACAATGTTCTCCAGGCGCAGACACTTGCCCGAAAGGCTGCCCTTTCCTGTAAGAGTGTCGTTGCTTTGCACGATTTGACTAGCACAGGTTTTTGGTTTAAACTGTCTTCCAAGTATGTGTAGCAGGAAACCCTCAAATAGCCTTAGCGTCCAGGGCAGTGAGGCGAGCACAGGCCAGTGCCCCCCTCTCCCCGGAGGCCACAAAGGAGAAACAGTCAGCTCCAGGCCTGGCCTGCTCGGGGCAGGAGCAGCTGGGGCCTGGGAGGCCTGGGCCATGGTGGTGCCAGGACAGGCCCTGTAAATACCGAGAGTGAGCTAAGCAGTTCAGATCACTTTGTACTTGAAACAAGTAAACTTTCCAGATCTTACTGCTGATCTAACCAGACTTTTTAACTTCGTGGTGTACATTGTACAAATGAAGTATTTGAAACTTTTTGACCAACTCATGATTATCTGGCGGTCCGGTCAGCAGCTGCCTGGGCCCAGCTGTAACGGAGGATTGTGTGCAGATGCGTGAGGACGGCGTGCGGAAGCGGTGGCCAGTCTGCCAGCACTCCGCCCCGTGCCTGGCCACGTGTGCGGAGCCTGTGCTGCTGTCCCGCCTCGGGGCCCTCCAGGTCCAGTGAGGGGAGAGTCACTAGATAGACAGCACACACATTGATGGTCACAGCGGTGCAAACTGGTGAAGGGAAATTGCAGGGCGCTTTCAGGAAGTGTTACAAGGGCCCTGATTTTGACCGGTGGGTCAGAAAGCACTCCCAAAGAAGTGACAATTACACGAAGACGAGAAGAATGAGTAGGCATCAGCCAGCGGCAGAGATGGGCACAGGAGGCTGGGGGTTGGGTTTGGTCCCAGGAACAGTGGGACGCCGCTAAGCTTCGGGTTGGCAAGTAACCTGATTGGGCTCATGTTCTAGAAGAACCCCTGTGCAGTGTGGAAAATGGGGGGCCAGCCAGGGGAGAGCAGGAAGAGCCGCCTTCCAGGTGGGAGAAGGTGGGGCGTGGCCCAGGGAGGTAGTGGAGACTGCTGGGAAAAATGCACCCTGGCTGTTTCTTTGGCATTTTAGGGCAAATGGGCAGTCCCATCTCCCTGCCTTATCTCCTTGTTTATTCCCTCGGCCGCAGTGAGGTTCTCTTCTCTGCTGACGAAATGTATGTTCGGCAGATCTGAGTTTTCCTTTGGACTTTGCATGGTCTGCGTTTCATTCTTCAAGCTCCCGGGGAGAGGGACGGCTTGTGGAATAGCTTTCAGGAAGTGCCAGGCTGCACACTTTCCCAAAAGGTGTACCAGCAGAGGGACTTGGGCACAAGTAGGATGCAGGAAGGATGCCAGGTTGGCTTATCCGGGGATGGAGGGCGTCGGGGAGAAGGGAGTCACACTGGGTGGCATTGCTGATGCCAGGTGTATCGCACTTCATGCTTCCCCACAGCTGTACGAGGTCAGCCTTTTCATTTCCACTTCACAGGTCAGGAATCAGGCTCTGGAACTGACATGTGCAGGTCACCCTGAACTATGTGGGGGGTCTGAGCCCAGCTGCCTCTGTGCAGGTCCCTCTTGAGCTGTACCTCGAGGATGAGTAGGGAATAGAAGTGACCGGATCTGACAGGTTTTGTGGGGAGCAGGGGCGCCCCCCTCCACGAGGTCACGGTTGCTTTAGTCCCAGGAGAACCCAGTGCTCCCTGCGTTGCAGGCCCCGGGCGGCAGCACTAGGTGCGGTTGCCCTGGAGGAAGTCACAGTCCAGTGAGGGCAGGAACAGAAGTGACAGTGTGAACACCGGCTTTTAAAAAAATGCTGATTATTTTACAAATGGAAACACGGCTAATATAAAAAGGCGAAGTGTGAATTCACGAAGACTTCCTCATAGAGGCCACTCAACTCAATTGCTTTTATTAAAAACAACATTATTTTGGGTGAGAACACATTTCAAGGCCCCAACCCCATCCCACCATAAAGAGCTCCCCCACCCCCGCCCCCCTGCATGTGCCTCAAAGTCCAGGCTCAAGGAAGCCTTTAGCAGGAATTGTCTTTTCAAATTGCTTTGGCAAGAAGCCCATCATTAACGATGCGCTCTCGCTCTCGTGCCCTGACAGGTGCCGGCGATGGCTGAGGATGGCAGCGAGGAGATCATGTTCATCTGTGAGTGGCCTGTGCTCCGGTGGCTGATGTGGCGCCGGCTGTCCGGGCAAAGCCACGTCCACGTGGTGTCTTTATAGGACAGAAGGAGGAGCTGTTTCTTCTTTAGTGGAGACGACTTTACTTGCTTTAATAAACACGATTTATCACATGAGAAACCTGTTGCCGGGGAGTAGTTCTAACAGGCTCACCTTTCTCAAACTCCCAGCAAAGGGCACTTCGCAGGGGGCGGCGGTGGATGCAGGAAAGTAATCCAAGGGCATAGAAAGTGATTTACGATGCGGTAGATTTATGGCAAACAGGTGAAATTGGTGACTTTTTGTTTACTGTCATTCCTCGGGAAGATCTCCTTCTTCGTCACCACAGAGGGGACTCTGCCTGCTGTGAGCTGGGCCTTTTCCTTGGGGGCACGTCCTGTGTTGTGTTTGTGGGGAGCACTTTGGTCACCCCCATCGGCCTTGGAGCCGAGCAGTGTCCTCCTGCTGACGCTGGCTGTCTGTTTGCAGGGTGTGAGGACTGCAGCCAGTACCACGACTCCGAATGTCCTGAGCTGGGCCCAGTGGTCATGGTCAAAGACTCCTTTGTGCTAAGCAGAGCCAGGTGAGTGAGTGCCTTGGACTGTGTTTACAGTCCTGCCTGCCTGCCTGTA